ACGTGGGGCTCGATCCCAGGACCCTGGGATCATGACCTGAGCTGAAGGCAGACGCTTAACGACTGAGCCACCCAGGCGCCCCTGCAGTTCTCTTGAACAGAGAGTGGTCACCAGTGCCTGGTCCCCTCTTGAGACCAGTGGCTGTTCAGTCTTTGTCTTTGATTTTTTTTTTTTTCCCCCTGTTCTTGCTCCTGATCACATGGTTCTGGGAACTGTAATACTTTGTCTTTCTTGCAGTACATTCTGTTATAAGTGTTCTTGTACAAGGTGGAAGGAAATAAGGAAAGGATTGTGGAGGCACACAGCCTGGGGAAAAGATACATTGTAAGTAAGAAGATCTGGCAGTTAATCTGTCTAAGGCAAAAGGATTTATTCTCTGTGGCTCCTAAAAGGAGCTAGTACTTTACTGTGGGAGGTTTCATACTGTAGAGGAAAGACCAGGACATTGAGAGCCTTGATTTGAATCTTATCTCTACCCTGTACTAGCTATGACCTTGGACAATTCATTTCACTTTTCTGCGCTTCAGTCTCTTCATCAATAAAAGGGTAACATCTATCATTTTTTAAAAAATAATAATGAAATGGGAAAATATACATAAAGTGCCCAACATAGTTACTCACATTTACTTAAATTATTTATTTATAGAGGGAGAGAGAGGGGCGGGGGCGGGGAGGGGCAGAGAGAATCTTAAACACACTCTACAGTCAGCACAGAGCCCAGTGCAGGGCTTGATTTCACAATCCTGAGATCATGACCTGAGCTGAAATCAAGAGTCCAACACTTAACTGACTGAGCCACCCATACACCCTTAGTCACTGACATTTTAATCACTCTGAGGCTTGTTCTCATTCCTAGGTCGAGGACTTGCAGATTTGGGGTACCCTGCCACTAACCTTCAAGGAGTGAATGATTGCTGACTGGAATGTTGTCTTTGTGGAGCATATGTCAAATATGACCACTTTGACCTATCAGATCCAACCCTTGTTCCTTTTGATAGATATGTAAATGAGGGAGTCAAATGTCTTAAGTAAATCTACTAGCATTTAAATCTGAAAGCCGAAGTGTTTGAGCACAGGTGTTTGGGCACAGGTGGTATTTTTATATTTATATGTATTTCCCCTGGACTTTCTGAAGGAGGAGATGTGGATCAGGTGTGGTCAGTTGGCTGTAGTGACAGTGCTGAAGAACAGAACTCTCCCCTGTGCTTACAGTATCAGCTGATACTGTAATAGTTCCTTGAGAGCTAATGTGCTACATCTTTTAACTACTAAAGCCACCATTTTGGGTCAGGAAAACACTTGCTAACCTCATCAAAAAGCCTTCAAAATGAAATTTGAGAAGAGAGAAAAAATTCCAGGTAAATCGTAAGGGAGCAGCCATAGGCTAGAATTATAGTGACAGAAAACAAGATTGGACAAGGACCTGTGTCTAATTCACGGGAGGACACAGAGAACAAATGCTGAAGATTCTGATGTTTTTGCATCATAAGTGCCCGTAAAATCTTGACAGAAGTAAAGACAGTCCTGGATGCCGCTGAGAACTGGTGAGTGGAGTTCATAACTAGGCATTTGAGTGCTCACTAGAGACACTGTGTTAAGAAAGTGCTCTCCATTTAATCCTTACAAAAATGTTATGAAGTAGAAGTACAGGAATTAATCTCCAATTTTAAGGAGGACACTGAGGCTGTAGAGGGTTAAGTAATTAGAGCTAGTAATCTGCTTTTGATGGATGACATGACAGTGATGTAAGTTCATTTGTTTAATGATTTTACTTTTAATCATATGCTGTGGCTAGGTCGGTCCCTGACTTACCCAGGATTACAGTGTGAGCTCACTCGCTCACTCTCCTTGCCTCCTTCACACAGAAGAGGTGAGAATGAGTCATGGTTGTGGTTGGCGTGAGTCTGTTTTGCTCCTCCGTTAGCCACATGGCAGTTCTACTGGGAACAAAATGACAAGGGAATATAGCAACAGTTCTCTCTTTCTAACTTCTGACTGATTTTAACAGTCACATACTCAACCTTGCTGGATCACCAGCAGTCATCCAAGATGTCACTCTTTTTTCGCTGCCTGCCTACCTGTGGCTTCTCTTCAGTTCCTCCGTCAACAAGCCAGCTTAAGTTGAGTGTGATCTCATTGTGCTCCCCTTGTGGCAGCCCTTGCAGTTTCCTCTGTATTTGCTTGTCTTTCTTATTTTCTCTTCTGCATCCCCACTGCCATCTGCATTTCAGCCTTGATAAATTATTTGCAGTTCCCCAAATGTCTAGTTCATGTTCCTTGAACCTTGCCTTGTCTGTCTGTTATTGATAATGTTCCCTCTGGGAAGCTTCCTCGCTTCCTCAGGGCAGAGTTAGGTGTTTTCTCTTTGTTGATTTTCTTCACGTATCTGATTTTTGGTTGTCTGTTGATATTATGGATGAAGGTTTAGGTTCTAGAATCTAGGGTTACTAATGTAGGTAACTGGAGTAAGTCTCCTCTTAACTTTTCCTCCAATTTTCCACATTCCCTAGTGGCACCTGCCTTGACCAGAATGGCTGGTACTGAGCTCTGTGTCTGAGAAGTGTGGTGATTGGCAGGCTTCACTGTAGGGTGTGATGGAGGAGACTGGTGGTCGTTTCCAATAAAGACGACTTTGATCTGGGGCACCATACCCCTTGCAGGAGCCCTGCCTGCCTCCTGCCTAGGTTTTGTTTCTTTAGAGAGTTTTTCTTCAGTTTCAGGCTGGATCAGGTGTAGCTGCTGTGCATGGCCCTGTCGTCAAGGGGTGGGAGGTGGGTAGGAGGGGTTGAGTAGTTTTGGCCTTTCTATCCTTGGGCAGTCTTTTTGCTCCACGCCTGTTTCTGCTCTCCTAGCTCTGTTGGAGCCTCTTTAGAACTCCACGGGAGGATGGCACATGCATCCATTCAGGACTTGTCTCCTGTTTATTCTTGGGCTGTAGCTTTCTTTGCTTTTGTCTGTATGCCTCAACTCGGAAGAGATACATTACCTTGTTTCCTATCATTTCAATAAGGTGGAGTGGAAAGGAAGAAGCGGACCCATTTACCCAGTCTCTCTGTCACTTTGAAATCCTGAACCAGGGGTTCTGTTGACAGCTTTCAGCATTTGTGATTCTAAGAATTGAAACAAACTTCTATAATGAGTGTATTATTGATTCCCAGAATAGTTTGGAATGTTTATGGGATATGAAATTACTGTAAAGCTGAACTACATGATTTTTTTATGAATAACTTATGTTTAAAAAATAATAAAGCTTTTTAGAGCAAGGAAAGCCAACGATACCCCCACATACCTGGGCAGGGAGGATTGTGGGGAGGTCTGAGGCATTGCTACTAGCTACTAATTGATAATTGGGGCCAGAAGCAAGGTAACTCTGGCTCACATGGTGTTTACGTTCTAGAATCAGAGGGAGTGGCTTGTTTCTCAGATTAAAATTTGCTAATTTTAGGTTGTCTTCTTTGACATGAAGATCAAAGCTCTGCTACTTGTGACTTACTAAAACAGAGTACTAAATAGTAGCTCCAGAGTTAGATGGAGGTTGCAAGCTGGGGTTTATTTCAATGAATGATAATAAAAAGAGTAATTTCCATGTCTTCTAATAAGAGTGAAAATGAATCTGTATGCAACATTATTTTTATTTCTTAATACATTTTGGGAAAGTTAATTGCAACTGTGTGGTTCAGGGATTTAGTGCAAGAAGAAGAACAGTTGATGGAAGAAAAGAAAAAGAAAAAAGACGACAAGAAAAAGAAGGAAGCTGCTCAAAAGAAGGTAGTATATATGTATCAACTATCTATATTAAACGGTCTGAATAGATTTAAAAAGAAAACTACTCTTACTGGATTTTTTAAAGCATTTGATTGAATGTTTTAATTTCAGTGGAGATTCATTTTAATATTTAATGTTTTTGATTATGCATATGTAGTAACTTGCCAAGTGTGTACAATTTAATGCATAGTTATTTAATCTTGCCGATAGTTTTTTCAAAGGTAAGTGCTTTATATAGGTCTTTATCTTTCAATTAGCTGTTCCTAGGTTTTCATGATACATGCATCTCTCTGTACGTGAGAAGAGCATGGAATTTGTAGCTGCATTGAAATCTGGCTCTCCCACTTGGCGTGCTGCGCGGTGTGTCCTTCAGCTTTGTTTAGCCTCTCTGAGCCTTAGTCTCCTTATGTTTTGTAAGATGAGAATTTAATTAGATAATGTAATACACATAATGCACGTAATAGGAAATAAAGTATCAGTTTCATTTTCACTTTTTGTTTAGTACCTGGGCTGATTTCAGGAATTTGCTGTTTACAGTAAGATATTTGAAAATAACCCTAGGACATCATTTGCTGCAGAAGATCTCTAGCTCATATGTTGTCAGAAACTGTAACCAAAACAATACAAATTGTAGAAAAAGAAAAGATTATGTTCATAAGTATAAAGATTTTTTACAAATTAATATGAATCCTGATGACAGCTGGGCACTCATCTCCTGCTGTATCAAGGTTTCAAGGACCTTGAAAATGTTCTAAAAGATCACGTGAAATTACTGTTCCAATTCTGTATTCAGTGACAGTTCTGACTAATTTCTGACCTATACCTCTTTTGTGCCAGGTACCGTGTTACAGCCGCACACTTCTCTTCACATTATTTAATAGGGAAAAACACAGCAACCAAATCTGTGGTAGGTAGGGAGCTGTTGAAACACAGAGAACCGCTTCACTCAGCCTGGAATGGGGCCGACCGAAGGGAAAATTTTCTTAGAGTAGAAATTAGCCAAGTGAACAAGGAGTGGAATAGAAAGGGATTCCAAGCAGAGTAAATTCAGCGGTGGTAAGTGCCCACGGCCTTATAGAAGTATGGGTTTTGATTGGTGGGGGTGGGACGCCAAGGGCAGAAGTGTCAGAGGATGAGACAGCAAAAGTTGGTGTTAGCTGTGGACTCTTATCCGGGTTTCAGCTGCTAAGTGTTGGGGAAAACACTGAAGGCATTTCAGTAGACTGATGTCAAAGTTTGTGCTTGAGAATGTTTACCTGAGCAAACTGTGGGCTTGGATTGGAGGAGGTAGAAATTAGAGGCTCAGATGCTGGTGGAGGGACTGTGGAAAGAACCCACAGAGTTTGTTGGAAGGCTATGAAGGGAGAGTGACTTCGATTGATGCTCGGGTTCCAGATTGAGTGACGGGAGTATATCTCGGGAGCAGTTAACCAGGTTAGGGAATAGAAAGGGGGAAAGAGAATTTCCGTTCTGGAGTGCTGAGTTGACAGCGTGATCAGCCAGTACTGGGGGGGGGGGGGTTAGAGCATAGAGCATTGGACGATGGAGAGTGAGGAGGTGATAGGTGGCCTTAGCATTTGGCCTTTTGCTTGGTCTCAGGAGTGACTGGGAGGGATGCGTCTGTAATTGTCATAGTCATGGTTTAGAATCGATTTCTTGTATAGAGTTTTGGCATTGAAAATGCCATAGACCTGTCAGAGGCCTGTTGATACAGGTTGGTCTTTGCAATGTGATCAGTCTTTAGCTGAGGATTTGTTGTGGAAAACGTTGTATCCTCTGTGAGTTAAGGTTGGGGGAAGCTTTCGAGACGCTTGGTCTGTGCTGTGAAGGCCATTTACTGAGTGAAGAGAGCTTCTAAGAAACTTCGGAGACTTGTTAAAGAAGATGCTTAGATGTACTTTATGTAGAATTGGTAGTTTGGCAAGCATCTGAGTGTTGTATTAGCCCCTGTTGATTCCTGCTTCTGAGGTATTCCGAATGTAGCTGGTAAGTTAGGATGTCTGTGAAATGGCTAGAGAAGAAGCCTAAGGTATTATATAATGAAGCATGTTTATTTAGGATTTACCCTAGTTAGAAAATTCTGAGAAAGGGAGGAGGTCACTGGAATGATTTCTTTAAAATTTACAATTTTAAAATGTGTGATGTGAGTAAATTTTTTAAGGTTGTAACAAATTAGAATGGCTCTAATTGCTAAGGTTCATCTTTATATTCTTTCATAACTAAATCTCTGACTCACCAGTCAGTGTCTTTAACATGTGAATGATGACTTTTGTGTCATTGGCCTCTCACCAGATCTGAAATGACAGCTTTTCACACTCTTTCCCGCCCCATCCCTGCCTCACCCCGTTCCAGGCTCTCACCCTAACCACATTCTACTGGAATCATCACAGAGCCTTAGCGATAATGGGGAGTGTTTTTCTTCCTTTGCCAGATCTTCAGCATTGGTAGGGTATTCCTTGTGTATCCTCTGGATACAGTAATATCTAGCCACTGAAAACAATGTATATATATATATTTAAGATTTTATTTATTTGAGAGAGAGAGAGAGAGCATAAGTGGGTGGGGGGGGATAGAGGGAGAAGCAGACTCCCTGCTGAGCAGGGAGCCTGATGGGGGACTCCATCCCAGGACCCTGAGACCATGACCTGAGCCAAAGGCAGATGCTTAACTGACTGAGCCACCCAGGCGCCCTGGCCACTGAACACAATATAAAGGAAAAGTTTAATATCTCTAATAAATGTTAAGCATAGTAGGGGAGACTGCCACTGTAAATAAGACTGTTCTTCAAATTCCAAATAATCAGTTTACAACAGAATTTGAATAACACACATTGGTGAAGCGAGGACAGCTGGTATTTCTATAGGCTGTTACCAAATAGCTATTAAAAAAACAAAACAAAAAAGAATCCCAAGTTGGCACACTTACAGCCCATATGAAAGATTGTGAGTCACAAGCGTTTTAAGACAAGTTTCCTCAAGCTTGTTTTTTGTCTGTAGACGGAGCCAGCAGGTGTATGCAGGTAGGTGGCAGACATCTACATAAGACAGGTAGGCAGGCCCATTTATATGAATGTTGGAACATAAATTCACTACAGTAAAACAGTCTGCCTGTTTTATGTAATGTATGCAGATGTTAAAAACCTATATATTTTTATTTCTGAAAAAGACTTCAGATAACTGTTCTGATCTATTCATTAAAATTTTTTTTTTTTTTAAGGTAGAGTTCAAGCATTAAAATGAGTTAAAGTGGCCAACCATGGTTTTGTCAGGGTGACAGAACTAGGAATAGGATGGGAAGCTCCTTAGACCCCCAGCTGACACTTTTCCAAAATTAGGTTGCCATGGTGTTGTCCTTTGTCCTTTTTTTTTTTTAAGATTTTATTTTTATTTATTTGACAGAGAGAGCGAGAGAGGGAACACAGCAGGAGGAGTGGGAGAGGGAGAAGCAGGCTTCCTGCCCAGCAGGAAGCCCGATGCAGCGCTCGATCCCAGGACCCTGGGATCATGACCTGAGCTGAAGGCAGACGCTTAACGACTGAGCCACCCAGGCGCCCCTTAAGATTTTATTTTTGAGTAATCTCTACACCGCATCTAGGGCTCGAACTCACAACCCCGAGATTCAGAGTCGCGTGCTCCACCGACAGCCAGCCGGTGCCACTATCCTTTATACTTTTTGCTTTATTTTTCACAACCTAAAGGTGAACTTTAAAGCCACAAATAATATATTGTGGTAATTTCTGTAAAGCATTTAACAAGTCTTTATTCCGTGTGTACAGAAACTTGGTCCCCAGTGGCCACTGTAGTATTTTTAAGGAATTCAAATTCAGATCACAGGTTATTTTCTATTTTAAATAAAAGCCAGGTAACACAGCTTCTGTAGATGATGATAATGTTTTTACTATGATAGTTTTTTATTTTGTCTACTTAAATATAAATTTTAAGTATCTAAATTCCTCTTTGAAGAAATTGTACACGAAAATGACACGCTTTTCATTATATTTCAGCCGTACCTCTCACAATGAGATCAGTGACTGGATGGCTTTATTTTTAGTTTTGTTTTTTGAAAAGCTTTCTATTTCATATCTAAGAGTCAGGGCTGTTACTTATCTCTTGTAATTCCAAGACTTAGGAAATAACTTGATACAGTATATGGGAATGTAGCTTCTGCGCTTAAAAAGGGCAACAGTGGTAGCAGGAGCTTGTTACCATGGATTTATCTCCAGGCTCTGTTTTTACAAGAATTCTAGAAGGAATCTTGAGAGAAATGTAGTGAAGGGAAAAGGAGGTTGAGAAATAGGTTAATTATAGAGGGATAATTTAGTATAACCTTTACTTTAAGCATGTAATTGTTCCTAGAAAGCATATAATGGTTGAGGGGCCAGAGGGAAGCAACAATACAAACTGGGATCTTTTAGTGTTGAGATCATGTTTTAAACTAGTGTTCATTACTATTTTTGTTACTGTGTTAGGAGCTGAGGGGATTGTTATAGGCTTTGTGGATTTAAATGTACTCAGTTTGGGTTTAAGCGAGACTTACATTATAGAAAACTTCGAACTTTTGTTCCCCTTTTCAGAAATTTTAGTATCAATCATCATGTCTCCCGAAGGCCGTGTTGGTCTGAGGCTATGGATCCTGTTCAGCGGTGCAAGGAGCCAGGGTGGTAACATCATCAGGCCTGGAGCATTGCAGCCCTCTAGGGCAGCCAAGTGTTGGCTTACAGTCCTGCCCCCAATTTCAGCTCACTGGTCTCCACTGGTCTCGGTTCCTTTTTTTTTTTTTTTTTTTAAAAAAAACTCTGTATGCAGCCGACCTGAGGTCTAGGCTGAATGCTGCTTGCTAAGTCCTAAAAAGCTTTCTGACCCCTAATTATCTCATTCAAAATAGGTGAATTTAGCCATCAATTCTTTATTCCTGATGTTAGTTTCTGATACCTGGCACTGTGAAGATACGGTAGATGATTAGGAAAAGAGAAAAAAAAAAGGGACTTGGGAACCTGGAGTGTGTTTGAGTTGGGCCATTTCCCAGGGTGAAAGGACTGAGCCAGGGCACCAGCTCTTGCATGCTTCCTGCGTGCCAGGCAGGGTCCTTAAGCGTGTGGCCCCCCCCCCCCCCCCCCCACCGCCAACTCTTCATGAATACTTCTAGGCTCACAACTGCTCTGGGGTAGGTGTTTTTGTTCCAGTCTTACAGACGAGGAAACTGAGCTTTAGAGAAGTGAACTAATTTTAACCAAGGTCACATCGAGTGTTAAGTGGTGGAGCCAGGATTCAGAGTCTGGCTTCAGACACTGAGCACTTAGCCACTCAAGTATGCTTAGGGAGCTTAGGGGTCAGGGGTTGGGACAAGTGGTGTGGAGCCTGACAGAAACAGCGTGGCATGCTGTGTGTCTGCCAGTTGTCTGATACCTTCCTTATAAGAACTGAGGCAATTGTAGTAATTGCTTGTGGAATCACAGCTCGGGTTTTTTTAAGTAGGCTCTACGCCCAATGTGGGGCTCAGACTCATGACCCCGAGATCAAGAGTTGCATGCTCCACTGACTGAGCCAGCCAGGTGCCCCTGTTTTTGTTTTAAGAAAAAGATATTCAAATATAGAAATAATTTTGCTTCTAGATTTGACAGAATCCTTTAATTCTGTTGTACAAGAGGATCTACAGTGATACCTCACATTTGAATAATGTTGTAAAAAGTCTTTCTGTGTTGTACTTGAGCCTCATAATAGCCCTGAAAGGTAAGCAGTACAGTCCCCCCCCAACCCCCCCACTTGAGGAATTAGGAAACTGAGACCCAGAGGGATTTTTTTTTTTTTTTTAAGATTTTTTATTTATTTATTTGACAGAGAGAAGCACTAGTAGGCAGAGAGGCAGGCAGAGGGAGAAGCAGGCTCCCTGCTGAGCAGGGAGTCTGATGCGGGACTCGATCCCAGGACCCTGGGATCATGACCTGAGCCGAAGGCAGCCCGCTTAACTGACTGAGCCACCCAGGCGCCCCATGAGACCCAGAGGGTTTAAATGACAAGGTCATGTAAAAGTAAAAAAGAAATTTGAAGTTAGTTTTAACATATTTTATATAACCAAATATATCCAGAATATTCTAACATGTAATCAGTATCAAATATTATTAATGAGATATTATACCATTTTTAAGTATAAAAAGTAAAAATCTGGTATTTTACAAATAGCAGGTTGGACTCAGTTTACCTCGGGTCAGTAGCCACATGTGGACATGGCTACCATTTTGAACAGTGTAGACAGATACTCTTTGTTTCTCTTTTTCTTTCTTTCTTTCTTTCTTTCTTTCTTTTTTTTTTTAGACAGATACTCTTAAAATCACTGATCCCGTTTGGAAAATTATCTTTTGAACAGTTTAAGTAATATGCTAAGTCCCTGGACCAACCCACAAAGACTTATTTTAAAGAAGTGGCACTTGATGAATTCTGTTTCCTCTTAATCTGTTAGGAGCTCTTGGGTTCTGTTACTCACATTCCTTCAGTATATGAGTCAGTATTCTGATGGGCCGACACCTTTGGATGTTTTCTTGATTCCATTCTCTGTAGATGACAGAATACTGAATGAGGTTGACTGTTGTTCTGAAGCAATGTGGACTTGTTTTGGAGTTGTTTTTCTGGCCTTTATGTTAAGGTCCACAAGAGCAACACGGTTTATCTTGGGGATAATGTGATCATGGCTTCTGTGTATTGTAAGTTAATTTCCTTTTGAAGTAAACTGTGGAAGAGACTAGGAGAGTTTTTTAAAAAGGATTTTCAGCATGTAAAACAATTTTTGTGCTAAAATGTTATCGCTTCAGAAAATTATGTATTTTGTTTGCCATGGTACTTCTCATAAAGTATTCATATACCAAGTTCTCTCTAATAAGACTGTTTTTTCTACCATCAGATTTTAAAACCAACTTCTCCAGGAGTAAATTAAGTGTTCCAGCTAGTTAACTGGTCTTTTGCCATTGTCCTTCCATCAGTTTTTGTTTTTTTGGTTTTTGTTTTTGTTTTTTTAGTTTTTGATCCATATGAAGTGAAAGATGGGCCTCCATTATTTAGCATAACAGTAGTGCTCTAAAACTTGGTAAAGGAGCTCACTGCCTAGACTGACTCTGGCTCTCCAGGGAAAGATTGTTAGGCGTGGCTTCAGGATTAGGGTAATTGCCATGTAGTCCTTTACCGTCTAATTCTATAATGATCTAATTCAAAAAATGCTATTTTTAATAACAGTAATTTAATATGACTAAGCAAAATTATTGTGCCCCATGGCACTTAAGGAAACCTTTATCTTTATTTAGGAACAATTCCTTGTTATTTGGCTATGAATTATTCAGTTTTTCCTGCCTATCCTTGTGTCTTTTATTTTTAGGACTCCCATGTAATTGGTCTTAACTAAAAAGTTGATTTTTGCTTGTGGCCTCTGTCTGTAATTTGTTCCTTCCTTTTGGGGCCCTTGAAGTTTGAGTGAGGTACCTTGAGGCAGCCCTGTTCCTTGTTAGGTCAGAGACAGTGGACAACGGGGCAGGCATGGCAAAGCAGGGTTGGTGTCAGTTTAGCTTCTGAACACAGTAATTTTAATGAATTATCAGATGTGTCAGAAGTGACAGGTGTGTGTGAAATTTTTTCCCCACTCAAAAATACTTAAAAGTTAACTGTGTTTAACTGAAAGAGCAGCCTAACCTCCAGGAGTTAAATTTATTACTGATTTGGCAAAATGGTTATATTCAGCTTTTCTTCCAGAAAACTTAATTCTTTTTTTATCATTTGAAATAAGAATTTTTGAAGCCATTTTAAACTTATGCAAAACTCAGTAGATCCATCAAATGTTAAAGGTGACAGTTATAGAAAATTCTTTTAAAAACTAAATAATGAGAAAAGTACAGTACCATTTTTTTTTAGTATTTACTGTCGTACAATGATGTCTCCTCTGCTTTGTATCTAAAGAAACATTTCAAACTTTATTAATAAACATTGTATCAGGGACAGTGGGGCACATCTGTGGGAAAAGCATGCTTTCTTTGCATATCTTTTCCTATGCAGTTCACCTAAATGACAAATTCCTTATTTAATAAAAGTGTGTATGTCTTATATAATAGTAAAATATGAACATTTTATCATTAACAATCCATTTCTTTCAGTTTCATATTTACATTGTTTTTTGTTTGTTTGTTTTTATTTTAGGCCACTGAACAAAAAATCAAAGGTACGTTGTTTAAAGCTATTTTTATCCTTTTTTTTTTTTTTTCATTAAAGCAAGGTTGTTGATATGCATTTTATTCACCTCCAGGATTGGGAGAGGAGCATGAAAGAACAGAGGGGTGGGGACAGACTTCTTCAGTGACATCACCTTGGAGTCATCCCTTGGGGTTAATGGTTTACTATATTACCACTTTTAAAATATATCTACCTTACAGCTATCTCCTAGGATGGGCACCATTTCCTCATGTACTCCCTTGATTTGAGTCTTTGAGCACATGTACCTTCCCTTCAGTCTTCCATGTAAAAAAGTCTTCTTGTCTGGGGTTATCTCTGGGACTATCACCTCATCCCTTGCTTTATTCCTTGGTCTCTATATTCACTTGTCCCACACTCCTTCCTGGAGGCAGACTGTGATAACCCACTCTATATTTAATTACTGAGAATAGTAGATTGCTAACCTGATGGTCATTTTGCCAGGCTGAACAGCTCTCAGTACACATCAAGCAGGAGCCTTCCAGCTGCTAAAGAAACAGGAACATCATTCCTCTCAGATTCTGAATCAGGAATTCTTCACCCTCCCAGGAGTTCACCACCTGGTAATGAAAGGTGTAGGGCTCTCAGTTGCTGAACTTGTTAGGCTTGAAGATTCTGAATTTTTACGTGTAGCTGAATCAGAAGTATGATCTCGGCATTTGTTTGAGATATACAGCTCAGTAATGCCTGTTTTTATTTGAGGTCAGCATTTGTTAAGGTAACATTTGCTAGGTGCAAGTATGTGAGAGTGAACAAGAACAGTCTTAGCTTATATTTTATCAGAGAAAGTGGCAGTAGAAGGACACACCTAAACACAGCATAGTATGTGATTTGCTTCAGGTAGAAATGCCATGTTGTCCTGGAGCACAGAAGAGTAATGAGTAGCTTATTTGACACAGGGGGTTAAGGAAAATCTCCTTGAGGTTATGAATCGTAAAAGATGAAACAGCCAATCCAAGAAAGGATGAAATGGCAGAGGGATCAATCAGCGTGATTGAAGGTACAAAGACAAATAATTTGGTGATATTTGCAGTAGATATTCCTAGAGCATTAAATATCCAGCAATAAGTGGATAGGGTAGAAGGGTTTTTCTGAAGAGATAGGTGGGGGTTAGGTCAGAGGAGGCCTTATATGCTCTGTGTACTAAGGAACTTGGACTTCTGTTTTATAGACAGGAGCCACTGAAGAGTTTAAGCAGAAGAGTGACATGGTTTGTTTGTTTTTTTGTTCTTTCTTAAAAGCTATGAGTCACTGTGCATGGAAAGTGTTGGATGAAAGATGGAGCGAAGAGAAGAAAGGCACTCTCTGGGCAGAGGAAGCAGGTGGACAAGAAAAGGGAATATTCAGAGAATAAGTGTGGGAGTTTTGGGGGGAAGGGACAGAATATAGGCCTGGAGGTGGGGGGAAATCGTAGGGCTTCATGCTCGTTAGAGGGGAGCCAGCCTGGGTGATACATGGAATTGGTGAATCACTATATTATACACCTGAAACTCATATAACACTGTGTGTTAACTATACTGGAATCAAAATAAGTAAACTATCAATTTGAGTCTTAAAAGAGTGGAGAGCCAGCAAAGGTCACAGTCATAAGCTGTGCTTTAGGAGAGTTTCTTTGTCAGTAATGTCTAGCGTCACCAACAGAGGCAGTACCAGAGAGGGAAGAGGGGGAGTAGAGAGGGTAAAAATGATTTGAACTGAGGTGTTGGCAGCAGGGGTAGGAGATGGATGGAAGATGTGTGAGGTCTAGAATTCACAGGATTGCAACTGGTGAGATCAGAGGGGGGAATTGAAGGTGACATTGTGGCTTTGAATCTGGACGTGTAAGAAAGTTACAGGGGTGTGGAATGATGTAGGGGGGAACATTGCCAAATTAATTTAGTAGGAACATGACCAAATTCAACTTCTTCAAGCTCCACTTTCTGCACACCACTCCCCTCTATAGGGGATGTTAAGTTGTCCCTTTGCTCTGCTTCAAGACCAAACTCCTGCTTGGCTTTCAAGGCCGTCTTTAACCTGACCTCTCATGATCTAACCAGCCTGTTGCCCCTCACTCCTTTATACTTTTCAGAGCATTCTCATCTCTTTCATGTTCATTCCTGTTTATTTTTCTTTTTGATCCAACTCAGCCAAGGAGGCCTTTCAGTGTTTCCAGACCTCACAGAGCTCATCTTCTAATGGATTGCTCCAGTGGCCATTGTTTCTCCCTTCCTGATTTCTCAGGATGTTATGATGAATCTTAAATTTGGGCTACTTGAATTATAGTCCATCTTAGAGTTTTGATTGGCCCATGGGTATTTGTTTCTCCAGCATGATCTTTGAATGCCTACTGTTTATATCGTTTCCAAATGTAAAATCATCCTTTTACATCCATACATAAAATATGAATATATTTGAATCTTCTTGATTTTAGACTTTCCACAGTTCTGAGTATGTTAGGCTAAGTGTATGAAAGTCGCTTCAAAATGTATTATGTTGTTTTGCCAGCTATTTTACTCCATCCTTCTTTTGATGGCAGCTCCGTGATTGGTCACATTATTCTGATTTATGAAAATGTATTATTTATTTTTTGTGCCATGTATAATATCTATATGGTATTTGTGATTTGGGGTTCATGATTAGAGATTACAAACTGCAGACTTGTGGGACAGGTTTGGCACGCACAGTTGTTACTGTTTACTAAATGTCTGGTTTCAGAATGATTTATGACTTACAGAAAAGTTGAAAAGGTGGTAGAGGGTTTTCCTACATACACCTCACTCTGTTTTCCCATGATTGACATCTTGCATTTCGGTGGCACCTTTGTCAAAACTAAGAAACTGATACTGGTATTAATGGAACTGCAGACTTTATTGAGATTTCCCTCTGTCTCCCGTTAACTTATTTCTAAAATCCAGCGCCAGGTACAAAAATGCATCTAGTTGTCTTGTCTCCTCAGTCTCCTCTGGTCTCTACACAGTGTTTTTGTTATTCTTTATGTTTCCGATTGCCAACATTTACAAATCAGGAGAATCTGCATAATTGAGAATTGCAGTTTCTCTTGCAGTTTTTACGGTCTGCATCATTTTTTGTCCTTCTATAGTAAAGTCTGATTCAGGCCTGGGTCTAATAACTTCTGGCTATCAAGTACTTGAAGGAAATGGGGCTGCTGTGACTGAGGAACTGAATTTTTAATTTTATTAGAGTCTTTGTGATTGTCAGGAGTCCTGATCTTAGTGTTCAGACTGAGCATGACTAGTTAGGCTGCAGCACCCTCTATGAATTCTGCCTTAATGAGCTGTTCCTTCTAAGGCTACTGCCATTTCTGGTTAAATAACACTAATGTTGCTTCCACCCAGTGGTAAGACAGTTTGTATAAAAATGGGTTTTTTGTAAAGTATCATAAATTAAATTCTTGACCAGCTTTCTTACATGAAGACCAGTCAGTGTTTTATTTCTTGGTGCAACGGATTCATAACTCATCTAATGAAAATGTGGACCAACATAATGTGAGACATAATGAAATTCTTGAAAGTTTTATTCTTACCTTGTACTTGAACTTTGAAAAACTGTAAGGAGCATGCATATTTGAATGTTTGAATATGTGAAATGTCTTTTAAAAATATGTATGAGTATCTCCTTGAAACAGCAGGGGAGTGAAATGCTGAAAAATTTATGGTGAGGTATAGGAATAGATGGAGACATTTTAAGATGCCCTGTGGCCTACATAATATAAAGGCAGGGAAGGAGTTAATATTCCCTCTTCAGAATGCCTTTGGGAACTTGATTAAGAAAAGTAATTTTTCAAAACACAGCTCTGACACTGGCTTGTTTTGGAAGCATGCTCATGATACATTCCTTGCAAAAGAATAAGCGCTGTTAATTTTTGACAGCTCGCTCTCTCTCACCCACCCTCTCACAACCCCCCTCGTCCTCTGTCTCATGCTGGTGCTTTCTTCAGGTGATTTTATAAGCAAGTTAATATTCCAGACAGTAACAAACTGCAGAGCTCTGAAGAGAGATGAGAGGAGGCTGGAATGGAAGCAGGAATGGAGAATAGTGGATAAAGACTTTTTTTTTGTTTTCTGGTGATCCCATAGGGAAGCATAGTTTATTGCTGCTCTTCTCTTTCTGGACTAATTAAAAACTCTTAATGAAAATTGAATCAACATTTAAAACACATTTTTGTTCCTTTCCACATTTGGAACCCATTATTCTTGCTCAGTTCTTCTTCTTCTTTTTTTTTAATTCTTACTCAGGTCTAGCCTCACAATTTTTTTCAAAGATTTATTTATTTGAGAGAGAGAGCGAGCGAGAGAGAACGAGAACCAGTGGGAGGAGGGAGAGGGAGAGAGAATCCCAAGCAGACTCTGTGCTGAGCGCGGAGCCAGACACAGGGCTCGATCCCATGACCCTGAGATCGTGACCCGAGCTGAAATCAAGAGTCGGACACCCAACTGACTGTGCCACCCAGGTGCCCCACATTTTTTTTTTTTAAGTCAAACATGATTTTATTGTTTAGCTCCATTGCTCCTGAGGAGTGATCAAAATATTCAAGAACTATTAAGTCAACGGCATGTCAAATCATATTGGAGACATCATGGTAACTAACTTTGAGCACCTACTATGTGTCAGGCACTGCTTTATATTTACTTCATTTAATCAAGGGGAATATTCTAAATATTTAATCACTAATAATGAATGGTTACCAGTGATTCAGAACACATACTGGAGCAGAGTCCTAAAAGCTTCATATGCTAAGAGTAATCTTTTAGCTATTGAATTTTGGGAAATGTTTGGGACTTAGGGGAGGGGCCAAGGCAGTAGGCTGGAAAGTCTGAGGCTTCATGAAGTAGGATATTTAAAAACTAATATGGGAGAAGGGCTTCATCAGTGTGTACTAGAACAATATAAATCTGCATTTAATCCCTTCAGCAGCTCTATGAAAGTAGATCATAGCACATTTAGAAGTCAGATTGAGGCTAAGAAAAGTGA